GGAAGGAAGGTTGGGCATTCCTACTTCCGTAGTGATACTGCCTCGGAAACCCAAGAAGGGGTCACTATGAGTCGGGGCTGACTCGATGCCAAATAACAATAACAACAACAATGATGAATATATATTATTCCATGTGACACAATCGTTTGAAAAAAATAGTTTAATTGATAAGGCAGGGTCAGGATAATACAGCTTTTTAATAAAAATAGATCCATTTTTAAAGAGGGTGTTCTTGATACTCAACTTCATTTAATATTAATACAGTTTTCATGTTGAAAAGATTAATTTTTTTTAATCTTCTGGATAGAGACAAATACAAATTGTATTAATCAGGTATTTCTGAAATGTTAATTCAGTGACATTTACAGTTTAATATATAATTTTATTGTACTTCACTTAAAACATCATTATTCTCGTTCATTTAAATTTTAAAATCCAATCTGAATGTCTTTCTTATAGAGAGAAATTTTAGCAGTAACATAAGACATACTGAATGGAAAAACACATATGCATATCATTGTATTTGACTTTTATTGCAAAAATATCTCCTAAATTATAATTTTTTTACCATTAGACCCTCCTTTAACAATAATACATAGTGTAAGTTTCAACATTGCTTTACTCTTGTTTTTGCAGGAGCCATATAACACACCTCTTTGAAAATGATCGTCATTTTTCTCACCTCTCGACATTGGAAAGGGAGATGGCTTTTCGCACTGAAATGGTTTGTTTTCATGTGATGTTTTATTGTGATACTTCAGGAATTTTAAACATTTTAAACTTTTTGCTACGAAAATTTGCAAAAATACTCCGAAGTACAAAGAATAAACAACTCCTCTGTAAATATCCCCAAGCTTCAACAGTGACAGCACCTGGCCATTTTTCTTTCATCTGCATTTCACTTTCCAAACTCTTTTTAAAGGAAATCTCAGACGTCTTAGCATTTCATCTGAAAATACTTTCTTACGTATCTCAAAAGACAGGGAATCACTTAAAAAAACAACAACAACAACACTGTAGTACCATTGTCACACTTAAAACTGTTAACAATTTCTTAATATCATCTAAACCAGTTTTTAAATGACCTTATTGACTTTTTTTTTTTTTTTTTTTTGATAATTGGTGTGTTTGAATCAGAGTCCACAGTGTGCCTACATACTGTACTTGATTGATGTATATCTTGTCTTTTAATGTATAAATTGATCTTCCTGAAATAGGACCAAACGTGGGTCCCTGCCTGGTATGCAGTCAGGCCAAAACAGTTTACACACCAGGTGATTAAGAGGAGAGAAAATTATTTATTGCAAAGCGGCAGTGCAAGGAGTAGGGGTACCCGCACCCAGATCTGACTCCCCGAAACTCCATCAAATTACAGTTTTGTAGGTTTCAGAAGAGAGCGTTATGTCTATTCATAAAAATTTCGGGAATTTGGGCGTGAGATGGTTGACGATTGGCTGAAATTTCCTTCGCCTCGGTTTAAAGGTTTAAAGGGACAGTAGTGTTTTGAGCTTCCTGGATGAGTCACACCAGCTTCCTGTCATCAGCTGATTGGAGCTTAGGCAGAGGAGAGAGTGTTCCAGTAACTTTGTTCCTCTCTGGCCCATTGTGCATGTCAGCAGGTCAGAGTTAATTTTCAGGTTGTTTTCTAATACACATTAATGAGTTTTATCACCTGTGCCTAAGGAAATAGCAGGAAAGAATTTTTTTTTTTTTTTTTTTTTCCCATTCAGTTTTTAAGGAACTGAGCTTATTGTATTTACTCATCTGTTTCCAACCAGAGTCTTATGTGTTTACTCATCTATCTCCAACAGGGATAGGGGTGGGGAGATAGTTGAGAGTAATTAAGTTTACTTATCTATTCCCATCCTGGGTCCTATCTGTTTTAATTATCTGCCTTAACCAGGGTGGGGGAAATAGGTTTGACTTCACTTGGTTTCATTCCTATTTTAGTTGTTTTGTTTCCCTTGCCGCTGATTTGTTGAAAAGCCCAGGTCTGTTGTCCTATAGAATTACCCATATTCTGCCTTGGCTGCTGGTCTCCTGCAGTAGTGTTTATCATGTCCCTGTGTTCCATGTTTCCTGAAAATACCTAGAACCTTGCTAAGCTGTAGGTTTGAGTTTTTTTTTTTTTTTTCCCCTGGGAGTAATACATCACAGGCTGAATTGGGCACCAGTTGTCTCACTTTTTGTGCTGTTAAAGTTTGACCAATGGGCGGTAGGTAGGTGTCCTGATGGTGAGCCTCCCATTTTAGTGTAGCCATCAGCCTAAATCAGTTATTTCATCAGGATTACCAATCAGATAGATTGATTATTCTTCATTCCCAACCTCCCCCATATTTATTAACTGAAATTTTTCTGTAAAGAGGAACTTTCCCACAAATACCTATTTGTTTCTCTGAGGTACATGTCATACAAGACAGGTAGGAAAATGCTCGATTCTTTTTACCAGTTTTCAGAAAAGTGTATCTGTTCACTAGCATCTTCTAGTAGTGATCTGTGAACATTTTCTTTCTGAGTATCATTATGAACTGATATATTTTAACATGTCTTATGACCTTTCCTATCTGTAGCTGGTGAGAGCCCTTGAGGTTGATTCTTAGATCTGTCCTCTTGAGGTGATCTCATTAATATTCCATAGCATCCTCCTTTTCTGGCACCACGAGGCTCATCTCCCCAGACCTGGAATTGGCCAGTTTTCCTGGGAGTCTGATCCTATCAGTAGCAAGTGGAAGTTAAGAGGCCACGATCTTGGTGCTAGTGATGTTCATTGTTAATACACTGGCCATCATTTCTGGTTGTTTTCTAGGAAATGATTACAGGACATACTTTTTTTTTAAGGAGAACATAAATTATGAATTTATATTCATATTTGGGTTTATAAGGTTTTTATTTATTTGATATTTGTATTTTTTCTCTTTGAATGAGAATCTTGGCTTCAGATTATTTGCTTGGAATAATAATATCAAAGGTTACTAAAAATAGAATTACTGAAAACAGTCTAAGATTCTTATAGTTCTTTATGAGTTTAGGATATATTCCACTAGGGATATACAGTAATATTACTGATCTTAAAGTTACTTGAAACCTTCTTAATGTGGTCAAATTCCCAAGTTGATGCATAGTTAGATTTGTTTCATTTTTCTTTTGACATGTAGGTATATAAAATAATTTGTTTTGTAATTCAGTGAAACATTTATATGATTCTAAAGTCAAACCTACAAAGCCTACAAGATAAGAAATATCATTTTTAAGTGCTATGAGAGCTATAACACCATAGTATCAAGAACTGTGGATTTTTTTTTTTTTTTTTTTCCATTTTTAATACATACTTGGGTAGGCAAATCACTCTCATGTCTATGAGCCTTACGGGGCATCTCCAGGTAAAATTGTATAGAAGATGCAGTTGGTATCTGTATTTTTTTGTCTTGTACATAGACAGACAATTGTACACTCTCCTAAGGCTCCCAGTGCTTTATTGTTTTTTGTCCCATGTGTTGTTCCACCCCTGCTACCGTGTCAAAGTAACAAGTCAAGTAAAAAGTGATTTCGTTGTCACAAAACAGGACCACCACTCTCGCGTCCCATTCTTGACCCCACAGCCCCAATTCCAAAGTGTTCTTACTCTTGCTAAAATGACAGAAAGTAAAATCATCTGTAAAATTATTTAGTATTACAGTATAATTTATATATAATTTATTGTATAGCATTACCAGCATATTTGCATTTTTGCTTATAAGTCTGAAGCAAAGGTGGCTGGTAGTACTGTTTTGAGGATTCAAATGAGCAGTTACAGGGGAAGCATTCTTGGCTTTGGAAGACTTCTTGGCTCATGGGAAATTTAAATTCCATACTAAATCACTTACTCATCTAGTTCATATGCTAGGCTCTTCTAACTGTTTACATTAGTATGGGTTATAGGATTTTTTCCAATAGATGAAGCTTGCTGAGTTATACTATTCTTTTAAGTGCTGCAACTATTTTTGAAGCAATTTTGAGTTTAATTTTTTCAATTAAGACAAAGTTATACTCAAATATGTAGGTTTTTGCAACCTAAGAATTTATCAGTGATCAGAAACCTGTGACATTAATTGTAGCTATTGATTGCTTTGTTTTTCTAAACCAATGTAATTTTAAAATATTTTTTTAAGCTAAGACAACAAAGTAATTATTTACCTTTTATTATAACTAAAGTATATGTTTATTTTAGGGACTGTATTATTCCTACTTCAAGACGATTGTGGAAGCACCCTCATTTTTGAATGGTGTGTGGATGATTATGAATGATAAGCTCACTGAATACCCCCTAGTTATTAATACATTAAAACGGTTCAATCTTTATCCTGAGGTAAGTTACTTTTTCAAGTGGATTCTATATCTAAGATACAATTCAAGATGTTAAATTTTATTTTTTTCTGTTTTAAAGAAAATATGTATCTTCTTAGGAAAGAATATGGAGAAAAATCATCGTTGATTTTGGGAGACTTTGATTCTATGGGAGCTGTTGTTAAGATTGCTTGGTTTAGAAAATAGGAGAACTGTCTAAAATTGGTGTGCATTTAGGAGTAATAGCAGGGGAGCACCATTACTTTTACATGTCATATGCCAAATACTGTTTCTTCCCTACCTAGCACTACTCATTTTATTAAGTACACTTTCTTGGTGGATGGAGGGGTAAAGGGAGGTGGGCCTAGGAGATGAGGGAGGAAGATGATGTCAGTAAATGTTATAATCTCCTTAACCGTCCCTCCATTTGACACACATTTTCCAGGACCCCACACATGGTGTTGCTGTGCTTGGAATTGACTCGATAGCAGCTGGTGCTGGTAGCTTGTTGTTGTTGTTCTGTGCTGTCAAGTCAGACCCAACTCCTAGCGACCCCTCCTTGAGTTTCCGAGGCAGTATCACTAGGGAAGTAGATTGCCCCATCTTCCTTCAAGGAGTGGCTGGCGGGTTTGAACCACCAGCATTCTGGTTAGCAGTCAAGTGCCTTAGGCACTACGCTACCAGAACTCCAGATGTGACTATCTTAATGACTTCTTTGACTCCATAGGAGAGGTCCTCCTGTTATTTACACTCTTCCCCTGTGCTTTCTTTTCCTAGCATACTCATAGTATATTTACTATGCCTTCTACTAGACAACAAGATGCCTGATGGCAGGGCCATGTGTCCCTTGACTGCTGGGATTCAATTCTAGGTCAGCATCCACACAGAGCCGTCTCTTTGTCAGTGGAGACTGAGCTAGAGGAGTCTATCATCCAGATCAGTGTGTTGGACTGATTGGCTAATGAGGAGGCATATGTGAGAGATGAGTTAATAACCACCAAGGATCAGTGCTTTTTTTTTTTTAAACTAG